AATAAAGCTCTAGGCTGGAGCAACCCTCTGCCACGCTTGGTCTTTTGAGTTGTGCAGCCGCCCCTTCCCCCCCTTCCCCGCCAATTCCCACCCAGGGCTGCTGGGAAATGAAGGGATAATGAAGTTAGAGTCGGGTCTCAAAGAAAGAAATGGACGCGAAGCTACGCGGAGTGGGTACTTAAATAAATGTACGTGTGCTGTGTGAGGTGGGACGTGCCTGACGACTCCATGCGTGTAACGGTGTGAGCGGCTTTTTAAGGAGCTCTCCTTGCGCCGGAGGGACGGCTGGCGCTCGCCTAGCGCCGGCAGTTCTGCCGTGGCATCTGAAAGCTCGCGATGAAGCTTACCTTCCCCAAGGGAGTGCGGCTCTGCCCCTTTCCTTGAACGCTCGCCGAAAGGATCAGCTCCTCTGTTAAATTTGTGCCTTGTTTCTACTTTGTTTTGTCGAGCTTCGGCTGCTTCCGACTGTTTCTTTCCCACATTTCTCACCGTTGAGATAATTTAGCTGCTACTTAACTTGAAACACATTGTCTGGAGGAGCGGGACAATGCTCCGAGCTCCCTTTTTTCGCTGTGGGGATGTGTATTTGTCTGCAGTAACGCGCTCCGGGGTTGCTGTGACACTGAGAACCCTTTCCCGAGTACTCCCAGGGTGGGGAAGGTCACCGACTGTGCCCGTGTGCCCCGAAGTCGCAGCTGCGCTCTCCCCCTTCCCCCTTCCACTCACCACGAAGGCAGAAAGTCTCTGGTTTAAACGCACCTCAGGCCTGGAGTGAGAAACGTCGCGGTGAAAACTTACTCTGGTCATCTTCCCCTCAAGGACGACAGAGAGGTTTATGTAACTTGTTTTATTTAACTTGACTGCTGCAAGTAAATTCAAAAACAAACTATGAGAATAAAAATACATTATCTGCGAATGTAAAATGCCTTTGTTTCAAAGGATGGTATTTGAACTGTTATCAAGGGTTCGGACACAATGAATTTTACAAAAATTAAATACGGATCCGTAACTGCTCAGCTGGTTGGGAATCGGGGGGGGCAGGTCCAGCAGCGAGCGCTGCAGCGTGAGGTGGCGTGTGCACGCTATTTATAGTCCAGCATAAATACCTCGGCCTGCAGCGCGAGCTCAGCTGCGCGGTGCGCGCCGTCACGCC